TTGACAAATAAGTCCTTTCTGTTTTTCATTTTATTTTTACGTCCTTCAATCACACATCACAAACCTTGAAGAATGGTGTCAAAACTGGAGAATAAAAATAAATTCCAATAAATCCCATCAAATCACCTTTACCCTTCGTCGTAAACCTATGTCCTCTTGTCCTACAGTATCCTTTAATAATACCCCACTTATTCCTGTTGAACAAATTCGATACCTTGGAACGTCTAACTTGGAATCCTCATACCAGACTGAAATGACAAGAAACAGCTCGACGTTTCCGACTACTCCAGCACTTACTAGATAAACGCTCTAACCTCCCAGTCAATTACAAAAGACTCATATACATGACTACAATAAGACCTATTTGGACTTACGGAGTTGAGCTCTGGGGCTCCACTAAGCCATCGAATTCCTCTCGTATTCAATCCTTACAATCCAAAATCCTTCGTAAAATCCTCACTGCTCCTTACTTTGTCACAAACAAAATCATCCATAACGACCTTAATGTTCCTTATGTTTCTGACTTGGCCCAATCCAGATACCTATCCTTCCATAACAAACTTCAGAACCATCCAAACCCTCTCGTTTCTAACCTTGCTTCCTCTTCGATCCCTGACAACCCTCAGAGGCGTCTGAAAAGAAGATGGCCTCGAGATCTCCTTTTATAAATACATTTTTAGAGTGCTACCAATTGGGTAGTTTCTCAACATGTGATTTCATGCAATTTTATTCCTTTGTTCACATTTACTGAATGTATTTTTACTTGTAATACAGTTTTAAATATCACCAATAAAAAAAAAAAAAAAATTTTTTACGTCACTATTATAAACTTCTTATCTGACGAGTTAATACCTAGGTGGATTATTACTCTTATTGTAATATCATATTGAACTATTAATATGAAAGAAAATTATCATTCATTATCGGGATATTTTTCTGTATTATTTTTTAAAAAATCTAGCGTGCTACAGAAATTTAAAAAAAAAATAATATATAAAAATTGCAGTGTTTATTACTTAATCAAACGCTCTTGTCAAAATTGGTTTGCTAAATTTCAATCAGAAATTTGTCGCTTCAATGTCTTGTCGGCCGCAAGAAATTGAATGAGCAATATTAAGACCATTGCCGGTCATATATATATATATATATGTATTAATTAAATATTTCTTTAGTTATCGCTTTCTATTCAACGAAAAATATACTTACTTCAAAAAACACAAAAGTTGGATTTACTACTTTTATGCTGAAAATTGACCCATTATTTATTTCAACTTTTTTAAAGCCCTTGAGGTTAGCTATCACTCATCTATATATATATATATATATATATATGTGTGTGTGTGTGTGTGTGTGTGTGTGTGTGTGTGTGTGTGTATGTATATTAAAACAATTTTATTTCATTCTGAAAAAACAGATATAACTTATTTGCGAAACCAATACCAAGTATTTTTATATTACATAAATTTAGCAAGCTTAAAATATGCCATATGCATAGTTTTGCAATAAGAAAACCTGTGCACAGTACATATATGTAGGAGTTAAGTTATTAAATCTCCTGACCACCGCCATAAAAGCCGTTGGGGTGGGGTCTACGGGTTCGTGATGAAAATAAGTGTTCTGAAAATTTAGGCAAATGGGTTCATGTTGTAAGTCAGTCTCTGGTGGAAGTTTTTATAGTATCGTGTTCCATTATCTGAAACTGTTTGAATATCCATGTCTTTGTGTAAAAAAATTGTGCGTCTTCTATTTTTCTCAAAAAATTTGATTGAAATCTTTAAATTTTGAGGATATTTGAAGTTTTCGCAGTTTACCATAGCTCAATCTCATAAATCCATAAAGGTTTCATAAATAATTTGTGTTTGTTAAATTGGTTAGTTAAGGATAACTTGGAGGATCTGTCAAGTAGACTGAATAATAATCCGTATCGTGTGTTCAATTATTTTCGGTTATGTATGGTATAGGTTCCACCCGTCAGTCTGTCTTTTGTCCAAGTGAAGTCCCAAATATTGCACTTCTTCTGATATGAGAATATGATATAGTATACCGGTGGGCATGTTCCATTATTTCCTGCAAAGACAATAAATAATCTTTTAGATTCGTTCATTTTTATATTCCTTCTGGTAGCCGAATTAAAAATATCATCTAGATGATTTTTTATGACAATGAATGTAGTTACAGGGTTTTGGTGTGATACAAGGTGTGCAATATCATCAGCAAATGTTGCAGTAAATGTCTGGTCCCTCTCTAGTAAATCTACTGTGGTTTTAAATTTTAGAGAAACATTGAATTAGGATTTTTTGTCATGGCATATTAATCTCCGTTATAATTCAATTGCTGCTTATTTATGCTCTAGTCATTCCATTTTTAAACAAGAAGGTGGTAGATTCTCGTGTAATAACCGTTTGTACGAGCTCGAGTAAGCTTATGAGCTAATAAAAACTGAGCAAATTAGACTTGGAACGTGTTCGTCGTTAGAAATTCGATTCTGTTACACGTGTCTCTCTTTTTTCCTCCTTCACTGAACAAAACTTTATATCCCTACTTCTCTGGCGTTTTTCATTTATTTGTTTATTACTTTATTTAATTTTATTTCCACTTACCTATATATGTAATATATAATATTTGTAAGTATTGCGATCATGAACATTTTCGAGGTACCCTGAGTCGAAATAACCAGGTTCCGAAAAATGGTCTGTGTGTCCGTGTGTATGTGAACACTAGCTCGAAAACGAAAAGTCGTACGAAACTGATATTACGTACTCTGGAGTCAACTTACTCGCTGTCTGTATAGATAAGGTTTTCAACTAGAAATATCACTAAAATGACATTGCTTAAAAATAATGAAATTGGATTTAGTCACTCTGTCAACTGAAGAAAGGCTCAGAGACTGAAGTTATGTGGTTTATGAAAACAGATGGAGTAACAAGAATTTTATTGCCTGCCATCGATATAATAAATATACTTTTTGTAATTTTAATCGCCTTAATGATTTGTTATCTGTAAGCTTTACAGATACAGCTTTAGCCCAGCATTGCCATAAAATAATTTCTGGATTCATTGGATTATTCTTGATTTTGTGATATTTTGTCAAGGATCGTGATCATATATCTGATGCCTTGATAAGAATCCAGATAAAATAAAATTTTTTTTCTTGTGTTTTATGGTATTGCTTATCTTCCTTACAGTGCGATATTTTCTAATCCAATAAATTTCTTCGAAAATAATTTTTTTTCCGATTCAATTCATGTGAAATAGAATAATGTTCTAGAAAGGATCATAAATTTCTTTAAGTCTGGTTGAATAATTTTTCCTCCCAATATGTTCAATTCTTCATGCATCAGCATTTTATTAATACAACGTGGGTGAATGATCTTTTTCACGTCTTCAAAATATTTCATAAGATAACTTGATAAATCACTGCCGAAATAAGGGCCGATGTTGCTGCGAGATCTAAATCGGACTGTAGGCTATGAATAATTCAATTACCCGATATTCCCTCCCCCTGTAAGAGAATGTTCTTTCTCCCGGAGCGAGCGAGGACGATCTGAAGTTGCTGTTCATTGGTTGACTGGATTAACGGAGTTTAGCCGGAATCGGGAGCTACGTGAGATGGCTGTGCGATGGCGAGAACTAACTACTTGGTGTCCAGTTGGGCTCCAGGGGTCTGGAATTGACAGGAGGACCGAAACCAGAGCTGTAACAAATGGAAAATGGCAATCGCATTGTTCCAGGCCTCCAGTAGGTCCAGTGATTTGATTTTTTTTTTATTTTGGTCTGTTTGATTATTGGTTATATTCCATGGTATACTGACTTCTGTGCCTCTTTGATGTATATTATAAAATTATATTTATGAAAGGCAAATTATATACAATACATTATATTAAAAATATTCAAATGTTTTTATCGTTCTCTTTATTAGAATATTCCTGTGATTCAAGTATGAGCAGTTAACAACCTTCTCTGTTTCTCCTTAAAAAATATTTTCTCCCATATTTTAGATGTACCTGGAATGAATACAATATTAAAGCATATTGTGCTGAAGGACGTAGACAATATGCCAGTAAATATTTTATTGGGAGAAAAAAATTGATATTCGATTTACGCACCTCAAATAATCGTTAAATAATATTTTTTTTAGTAATCGAAAATAAACACTTCTTGCCTAATGTATAGTTAAAATTGTAATAATTTCAAGAGGACTCCACTTATCCATACGAAAATTTTCATGAATTTAGGATTTTATAGATTACACGAAATGCCACAAATCCGAACTCCGTAAAGATATCAGAACCAAAGAAGAAATGAAAAAAAAAAAATCCTCCAAGAAAATCAAGTACAACCTTGCATTCATTTAAATAAAAATTCATGTTTAAGAGTTTTAAGGGAGACTAAAACAGAATATAACTTACTTTTTCTTATCTTAAATTCATTTGGTCTATTTGTTTAATATTAATTCAGATATATTATAATTCTTTTTTAATAATATTAGGATTTTTTTTCAAAGTGTAAAAAAAAAAAATCAATTGGTATACATTAACATAAAAATCCTGGCAAAGCAATGGAAAAATGAAATTAAACAATTTGTTTTTCATTAGAGTTATTATTTTTCTGTTTCATTTAATATTATTATTTTTCTGTTTCATTTAACATTATTATTTTTTTATAGAATGTAATATTTCTCAATAAATAAGATTATTGAGAAAAAAAAGATGGATATTTCTGTTAAATAAAAATAATAGTTCATACTTCATTTTATTTCAGCTAATAATTATTCTATTTATAGTGCTATAGGCGATAGTGAAAATTAATATAATTGTGTTGTTAATATGTTTTGCCGACATTAAATATTTTCTAATAAGTAAAAATTTAATTATAAATTTGAAAAATATTTTATTATGACCGCACGTTTGTATTATTAAATAAATTAATGTTATAATGTTTTATGACTATAATTATTATTAGTTTAATTAATCTTTATTAGTATATCTCTATTTATTACAGGTCAGATGTCGAGGAGATCTCCCAACGGCATACCGTTCCTCTTTGAAGACTTTAATTTGGGTATGTACAATATTTCCTTTTATCTCCCTTTATTTAATATGGTATAGGAGGTATTTCATAAAGTTAATATATTTTATTATTATTAAATTTGACAAGAAGAGAGTTGGAAATGCTCATTACACCCATTCTTCATTTCTCTTACTGTTTTCTAGATAGCTATGGCTTAATGTTTGTTTTAGTAGCTATTTTTTTCGGTAAATGTATACTTAATATATGTGATATAGTAATGTGGTATATTTAATTGACTTCTCAAAACAATTACGTCTTCTTATGAAATTTCCGTTTTTATTATTTCAGAAATTGAATGTGGTATTAGTTATTTACTGTGTTCATGTTTATAGATTATAATGAGCCGTTAATAATCCTCTCTCTTTTTACAATATTTACTATCATTCTAATTGATTACACATTGATGTATGCCACCAATTATGACAATGAAAACACACGATTTTCGAGTAATTTGTTTTTGTAAACTTGGACGTTTGGCAGCCCATTCTGCGAACCGTAACGAACGGACCATTCGACGGTGGTTTTAAAAAAAAAATTGCATCCACAAAATTATTGGTTTCCGAGTGGTGGTAAATGGTAGAAATAATATATTTTTTCTGTTTACCTAGTGGTTCTTCTGGAACTACCACATCCATATTGTACTGGAGCAAGGATGCCCCACCCCCTCCAAAGTCGATGGCGCATGAACCTCCTCCTTCACTCCCCAAGATATTTTATTGCTATCCTCTTCTTAAATAGAAATAAAAGTACCATAAATCATACAAAATTACAATTGCTAAGGTTCGTTCTATGTTTTCAATTTGTCTCTTGGTTTGAAACTTTTCAATCTTAAAATTCATAAGTCTGTCAAAATGTGCCACCCTCAAAAATTTTAATGGAGCAACTTGCGCGTTGTGGGCACCCCTTTACTGGCGCGATATTGACATAATGCGTTAAAAACGTATCAAAAAAACAACCTTGAGTGGTTAATCGGAAGAGACCTATTCTCTTACAATAGACCTCATGTTTCACGATGGACAGTGATGAAACAAAACCAGCTGTGTTACGAAATCTTTCCACACCCATCTTATTCGCCAGACTTATATCCAACAGATTTCCATCTGTTCAGAAATCGGAAAACTTCCTTAAAGATAAAATTTTTAAAAATGATCAGACTTTATTTCTTTACTTCTTCTTCCTCTGTCCACTCATCTTGGTCTGTGGCCAGCGCCTTCATGGCATTCAGCCCGCGCTCTTCTTTGCTGTCGCAGCTTAGAGATGAGGTCCGTCCACGTTAGCCTAGGTCTGCCCCGGGGACGTCTTCCAGTTGGCCTAGCTTCAAAGTACTTCCTTGGATCCTGATTTTCTTCCATCCGGCAAAGGTGGCCATATCATTTCAGCTGCCTCCTTTCAACCACTTCTTTTACAACTGAAACTCCCAGGTCCTCTCGTATTCGCTGATTTCTAACCAGATCTCTTCTGGTTCGGCCAGCCACCCTCCTCAGGTATCTCATTTCTGCGGCTGTTACTCGGCTCCAGTGCTTGTCCAGTGGGACCCAGCTTTCGCTCCATAGAGCTGAGTAGGAGGTATATAGCCTTACTTATTTACGAAACCCTAAATCTTTCATTTCTAGAATTAAAAAGTTGATAGCACATTGGGAAAAATGTACAAATAATGAGGGTAAATTAAAAAAAAAAAAGTTTTGATTTCATAAATAATTTTTCGTTTGAGAACTAACATTTGATATGAAACGACCTTTTATTAATTCAATCAATCAATAACTATTATCTGAATGATTTAATTAAGATTGGGGGGAAGGGGAATATTTTTTAATTAAATAACTTTGTTTATACGTAATGTTTACTAATAAATTTGTATTTAAAATACTAGTTTAATCCAAAGGTTCCATATAGAAACAACAAACCGTGGATTAAATAGTTCTTGTAAATATAAATCCGTAGCTAAATAGATGCGAGGATACGTAGAAGTCTGAACGGGAAACAAGTTTTGTTCCAGTTTATAGCATTAAGGGGCTCGGCAATGGCCTTTAGAACGAGCCTTTTCTCGTGTGTTGCGGATCAACGAATGAGTAAGCTTGGAGAGTTAGCTCGTATTCAAATGCTCCTGGAATCCATTTAGTAATAAAAAATATTGGCTGTTAAAGCAATTTATTGGCACTGACTTTCTAATAATCGGGTTTTCACCCTGCGATTTAACTGCCCTTCATTAGGAGTCTCCCCTTTACACAACCCCACCCGCAGGTCAGTGTACAGATATTGATTTTGCTATAGTTAGTATTTTTTTTTAACAAGTGTCATTTATAATTGATTGCCTAAATGAATTCATAATTCAATAATTAACTATCTTAATTAATTCCCAATGTACTAATTACCTATATATTTTTTTTTTACTTTTACTTTTTTTTGCTATTTCATGACAGTTATGTACCTGTAGCTTTATTGTATCTTTATTTATTCGATCATATCCATTTGGTATTCGACCTTTCATATAGTTTATCGACTAGTATTGAGGCAATAGTGGGAAGTTTAAAAAAAAAATCTTTTAAAATACAAAAAAAGTACATTTTTGTATTTTACATTTTCATCATCATCATATTCTCTCCTCTAGTACCGCCTATTCAGTGTGAGGAGGAAATCTGTAGAGCTTTCTCCAGCTCTGCTGGTCTTCCACCAAACGTCTGTTCTCATTCCATTGGAGTCCTCTTTTCAGGCAATCTTTCTTTACTTCGTCGACCCATTTATTTCTTGATCGACCGTTTCCCCTCTTCCGTCAATCTTGGTATGATAGACCTCTCTAGCAATTTTGCTAGGTTCCATTCTTAGAAGATGGCCCAGCCATCTTATTCTGTTCTCTTCTATAACTTCATAGGCTGGTTTAACGTTGAGGTTCGCCCTAATTGTAGTGTTGAGGATTCTGTCTCTTCTTGTTTCCACCTCAATTTTTCTGAGAAATCTCATTTCTGGCGCTTGTATTCTTGATTGATGATTTTTTGTTAGCGTCCATGATTCTGAGGAATACGGCAGAATTCGAAGAAACGTTGACCTAAACAATTTTGCCTAGTTGTTGTTGCATGTTAGGAAGTATAATATAAAAAATAGATTTTTTGTAGCCGGATTTTCTTTTTAAAATAAAAAGAGTGTATTTTATTTTGTACTTAAAATACACAAAATAAGTGACTAAATATGGTTGGTTCCTTGTATTAAATACTGATCGCACACCAAACAGTATTTTGTATTTAAAATACTTTTTTTGTTTCTTTAAAAGGAAATTTAAATACCTTTGAAAAACATATTTATAAAAATCACAAAAAAGTGTATATTTTGTGGGTTATTCAAAAATTCAATTTCACCAACCCTGGTACCTTTTTTTCCAGCTTCTTATCGGTAAAATGTGTTATATAGATAAATTTAAAGGGAGACTTTTGCTAAGTTCCGTCAAAGTCGGTACACTCGTTTAAGCCCTAAAGTCTATACGGCTTAGGCTTTTCTGCCAATATCTTGAAAGAAAAATACTTTTTGACTGTATATAATTATGCTATATACAAAATTTAAAAGGTTTCGACAAGAATTGGCCATGTTTCATTGAAACCGGTATAGAATCTATAGCGACATAGGTTTTTTGCCGCCATCTTGGAAAGCATGGGCGGATGGTAATCCGGGTTTGGCTGCTCATCCTTGGATATCCTTTGACATTAATACCGAATCTCAAAACTATCGATCAAGTAATCTAGGAGAAAAGCTGCGAACGGATTTTTTTTTATTTCGTTTTCGGATTTTACGTACCTTGAAAAGTATAATCTCAAATTTTAAAGACGGTTAACCTTTTTTTTTTTCTTGGTCGTTTAACAAGGCTGATTATCGAAAATAATAAACCAAAAAATAGAGAGCGAACCACAGGATGTGATCAAATTTTAATTATTCTTTATTGAAAACTAGTAAAAATTAAAAACATTTGTAAGATTGACATGTTGGTAAACTTTACGTAGTTCTAGTTAGAATATATTGGTTAATCTATAATTAAATCTTGCATAAAAATCCTTGTAGAATAAATCAAATACTTTAAACCATTTAAGAACAGTTTAAAATAAATACTTGTATTGATATCAGCTTTTTTTTTTTTTTTTTTTGGAACTGGTAATTTTAAAACTTAATATATCATCTAATATAAAACAGTGCTTTAAGTAAATGATTTTTTATATTTAATTTTTTTTATGTTTATTTTCTAAGAGCCATGACGAAATCTTTAGGAAATGACTGATCATTTCCAAGAACGAAGCTAAAGAATTGTATAAGCTTAAATTTTTCTTTGTACATGTGAAAAAATAAAATTTGCTTCATTTGTTCATATATGTAACTAGAATAAAATATAATATTATTGTAATATTAGAAAATATGAATAAATAATTTATATTATCGAAGCAATACCATTTAAAATTAATGAAGTAGGTATATAAAGCTCCTTCTATAAATATATGTTTTTTTTTTAATTCAAATATTTTTTGGATTTATTTAAGTTCTGCTTTAGCTTTACATAAGAAAAATATTAATTACTTTTAAAATTTATTTATTTATTTACAAGCCGTCAAATTCATCAAGGGCTAACTTTGGTCCCACAACTAAGGACCAAGGTTACGATTCTCGAGAAGTTGCCTTATTGCTTGGATATATTGTGTTGATATTAAACCATCAAGTCAATCAAAACTTTGAAAACACGTGTAAGTAATTTACTTTAGATCCCTGGCCTATTTAACATTTTGTATAAAAAACAAATTTAACAAACTTTGCATACATTATCTACGTAAAAATATAATATTTCTTTTATTTTATTACAGGCTTTAATATTCAAACCTTTGAGAATAATCTCATAAAACGTATTTATGAGAATAAAATTTCTCCAGTTCATATTATGTCAGTTTTCATTTTGTCTTTGGATCTGACCATGAAATAATCACATCCAACTTAAATATATTTATTCATATTGTTAATTTTAC